TAACATAATATTAGGAGAGATTAAAAAAGAATTGGGCAGTAGAAAAACCGATAATTGGAACAATCTCTTGGGGCTGAGACAGGCCAAGATACTTCTGGGTGAATATAACCAGGAAAGATCGGAAGCCTGCATCTGCCTGAGCAAGAACAGGCTACGTATTGTAACAGGGATCCTTACCGGGCATTGCCGACTAAAAGGACACCTGAGTAAACTGAGAGTAGTAGAGGATAGTGAGTGCAGATTCTGTGAGGAGGAGGACGAAACCTCCATTCTCATCCTAACTGAATGTGTAGCACTCCAGAATCCAAGGGCACTTTGAAGCCACTTCAAATCCTACACTTCCTTGAGAAAATAGGATTGGAAGGGTCGTTATAGACATTGAGACATTTCCTTGGTGCATTGGTGATAGAAGAGGACACAATAGATCTTTTAGGTCGCAGTGTATTAACACCCCATTTTCAACATAACATAACATGGGCAAGTTAATGGAGAAAATGATAGTACCTTGAGAAAAATTACATCATTTCACAAGTACAGTTAGGTTTTAGAAAACACCGTTCTTCCACCGATAACCTAGTCATAACTTCTAACTCCAAACTTTCATTGCAAATGCTCTAATAAACAAGATCTTATTGTAGCCATTTTTGATATTAACGATTGTTTTGATACTATATTAACAACGGTTTTACTTCGAAAACTTAGAGAACACTGTACACACGGCAACATTTACTACTCCTTTCTTAGTTTTTTAAGTAGTAGAAGTTTCAAAGTGGCAGCTAATGGTGAAATATCTGACTTTTTGCAGGCTAATGGATTTCCAGAAAGTTCGATTTTAAGTCATACATTATTTATGCTCGTAATAAGTTACATTTGTTCAGATATGTTTTATATGCAGACGACGTAGTTATGGTCTGCCATGGCAAGGAGTAACAATCGGATATGTAAATTAATGCAAGATGCAGAAGATTTATTAATTCAGAGATCCATCAATATTGGCTTCACATTTTCAGCTGAAAAGTCTAAAATTACTAAATTTAGCAGGAATAGAGGCACTCAAAATACCCTTATCAATTACAATGGTATACCCCTATCTCTAATAATAAGGCATCACGAAATGTTGGTCCTTACTTTTGACTCCTGACTAACTTGGAAGAACTTATCAAACTAGAGTCAAAATTGTCTGAAGAGACTTCATATTTTTAAAACATTGTCACATCACCACTGTGGTGCTGATAAAACTTTTCTTCTTGCTGTATATAGATATCTCATTCGTTCGAAGATTAATTATGGAAGCATTGTCTATACAGTGTGCCATGGTCCAATGAAAAGTCTCCACCCCCTTTTCTTGGTTTTCTTAGATTTAAAGAAGAAATGCTCGGACACGTCGATGTTTGGAGGGGGATATACATTTTTTTTCTAATTGCATCATTGACACTTCAACCCCCGATCAAAGTGGGGTGAACAGCCCAATTTAGATAGGGAAAGTACTAAAGTGTGGCACATTTTTGAAAAGGTAATTTTATAAGAAATTAAATAATGCCAATATTGTTGCGCCAAATTCCGATATTAGCGCCCTCTTGAGGGTGAAAATTATGTACCTAGAAGCAGAAATACTTAGACACGTCGATTTTTGTTTGGAGCAGAACACATTTTTTCCCTAATTTCAGCATCGACGCTTTCGATCCTCAAGTATTTAAAATTTAGATAAGGAAATCACCAAGAGTGGCACATTTTTGAAAAGGTAATTTATGAGAAATTACATTTCAATAGGAAATTACATTTTAGTTTTGTTAGTTTTTTATGTTTACCTACTTTCTAAAAAAAGTAATTAACTATAAAATTGATTCTTTATAAAGATTTATGAAAACGTCAATTTAACAGGTGTTGAAAATGTGACCCATTTGCTTCCGTATATAGGTCATTCACTATGAATTTACACCCATATCGGATTAAGAAATAAATGAAAGATTTGACTGGTCAGTTGTATTTTAAACATTTACTCATGGGTAGCGTTATTTTGTATATTGCAAGGGGTTCTTATAGAAACAAAATAAATATAAATTTTAGGTATTTAATTTTGCCTCAGAAAGCTTAAAAGAGATAGTTACATGATTTTGTTTAATAATAGTTTATTCAGAACAAAAAATTTTAATTTACATACATACATATTTTACCCTGCGTTTAAGTAAGACGATGATTAAAATAACATAACTTTTAAAATTCTATATTAAACAGTGATTATTATAAATAATTGTCTTTTGACATACTTATAAATCTTCAGCATCACTCTCAAAATTTGTGTCACTAGCGTCGCTGTCATCATTAAGGGATATAATTATAGGGTTAATTTTGTTTATCCTGTTTTCACCTGTCCACCAGTCGTCAATTAATTTATCACATTTTTGAACACTTTTTTGCCAAATTTCTGGGGTTGATGTATCCAGTGCTTGTTTCCATATTTCCCTTGCTGTTTCGTCGCTGTAACCATTAATTCCAATATGATTGTCATAATACGTTTTACATATACCCCAAATGTGTTCGATGGGGTTAAACTGACAATGGTACGGTGGAAGCCGTAACACATCAAGTCCATAACTATGTATGACTTGATCTACCATATAAATATGTGGTGGTTCATGCCGTTTGGCTAAAGTTAACTCAGATTTGGGCGTATTGTGGAAATGCAACATTTTCGTTACGTAGCCATTCTTGTATTTTGGCTACAGTCCAATCTGTCTTGGCGGTTTGTTTAAAAGTTCTGTGTGATAGCTCGCATTATCTAACACTATAACAGACGGTTTACTTAAATTTGGTAATAGTTTTTCATTTAACCATTTGATAAACATATCCGAGTTCATGTTCCGGCTCAGTCGTGTATCTGTTTCTTAATCCGATATGGGTGTAAATTTAGTGAATGACCTATACCAATGGATAGCATGTTTTTCGGTTGCAAGCACGATGGAATCTTGGCTCCATTCTTTCTTGTAGCACAGATCTGTGGTGAAGAAGTTTTTCACAAAACTGTACTTCTTCCTCATTTCATCCTGGGGCATATCCCAAGTATCTTTGGTCCTGAAGCTAATAGACTTTAATATGATTACTCCGTTCCAGATAATTCTATATTGTGTCCTTTTTGCCACGTTCTCTAACATTAAATGAAGAGGGGTGAGGTATAAGATCACCTCAATTCCCGCAGTACAGGTTCTCATTGCACCGGCGATGCAAATACAGGCTAGTCTTTGTATTTATAATTAACACAAACAACAATGTTACTAACATTGAAAATTATTCAAGTACTTACCACTCAAATACAAACTAACAGATCGGCGATCGAGTCAATACACAAAAGCAACTACAGGTGATTACCATTATCCGTTTCAAAAACTGACAACTCATCAACACACAAACCCTTCACACTATGATACTCGCCGTGATCGCCCATGATGGCCAATCGTGTATAGGAGCCATAAAACACAAATTTATCATGATTTACAATAACATTCAAACACTGATTAAAAAGGCGGGCTCCAACTTTATTATTTTTGGCCATTCTGATAGAACGTTGAAAGAAAGACTAGCAATTCTTAATTTAAATTTATTTTAATAAAACATCTAACAAACTGTATCTTGCCCCCGGTCACTTTTGTAGGGTTTAAGATTTGTTCTTATTTCTTTTTTGATGGCTAAGCCTCCAAATCATCACATGCTCTCATGGTTCTGGCAGAGACATAGCTTCAAACTCACAAGGACATATATTATCATGGTGCAATGGTGTCCTGTAAATATACAAACTATTGATGGTAGGTAAAAAGACATCAAAATAAAATGTTCATGCTTAATAGTCATATATGCATCTAAAACACACCCGTATGCATAGTCGATCGCCAGCGATTCGCCGGCGTATCACCAGCGATCTGCTAGCGAAAGCCCGAAAAGGTGGCGACTTGCTGGAGATTGTCACTGGCATCTCTTTCATGTTATTCATGATTTATATCTTAAAATTCAAAAAACAATGAATGAATATCAAATTTTTCCCCATAAAAGAACATGAAAACTAATTTTTCCTATAAAATTACATGAGATTATGAGAGATGACATGCCGGTGACAATCTCCAGCAAGTCGCCAGAGATTCATCTCGGCGGTATCAGCAGCGATCTGCTGGCCAATCGCTGGCGATCGACTATGCAAATAGCTGTTAGTTTCTAGAATAGTGTTATATATTTTAAAAAATATGGATTTTTAAACAATTTGTAAAAAACATTTTAAATGATTTCAATCAAATTTTCAGCTTCTAGGTAACTTAATGGGGTATCTTTTGGACCTATTAATGTGTATTCAAAATTCCCAAAGGCTTGCACATGGGGTCAGTCTATTGGAAATGAACATTCTTCTGGCAAGTTTATTAAGCAGAAAGGTTTACTTTGATGTCCACTACCACCACTAAAAGTTTGTTAGTATATATAAAGGTACACAGGACACTTTAAATAAAATAAATAGAAAATTCTGTGAATTATAGAGAAAGTAAAAGTTGAAAAGTCTTTTGGTAGGTAGAGAGGGGGTAAACGTCAAACCACGTCGGGCGGCTCCGAGAATTTCACAGTAATGTTTACCTGCCAGTGTCGTTTCATAGAATAAGTAATTTTAAAGTGTTATCGGCGGAACCGGACAATCGCATGTATTTATGGATTATAAATAATTATTAAACGTGTATTATAATATTCAAATTATAATTTTACAAAATTTCAACAGCTATTCACAATTTATTAAACTATTTACCCGAAATTGTTATTAACATCTATAAAATAATTTTGTACGCCAATGTATCATGTCCACTTCGGTGAGATCCGCTGACAACCTGTCAAGTTATGTGTATAAAGTGGGAGAACTGGCAAAAGCATTTCCAACTTTTACCTCTGTTCTACCTGAATTATGCTGGTGGTAGTCTGATACACAGAAAGGTATTAATGGCTTCCAAAAAATAATTAGGCTAGAAAATTATATATACAATTATTATTTGCATGATTTATTCACTAATACCTATTTACACTTGTTTTAATGATACATTATCATTTGTGAGCTCTACATTTAATATTTTTTTCAATTTTTTATTAAATTTCTTTATAATTTTAGGAGTAACTTCAGATTCACCTGAATGCTTAAGATAAGCATTTATGACCTTTTTTTCAAGTTTCTTTAAAGATATAGTTCCTTTTGATTCTAGCACACTAAGTATTTTTGATTGAAAATTAAACTTTTCAGCATCAGGTGATTCTTGTCCATTTGTAGAGTCTTCTTTATTATCAGTTACCTCATTTTCAGTGTTTGAATATTTTCTCTTTTTCTTCTTTGATTCCCCTTGTTCAACAATAATTGTTTTATCTTTTTTTCTTTTGTTGGAGTTTTCTTCTAACTTTAAATTTTGCGTCTCAGTCGCTGTTCCATTTTTATTATTACTTATCTGAGATGACTTATTTATCTTATATTTTTCTATAATATTCCAAACATCTTCTACGTCTTTCATATTTACCCTTCCACCAGAAGAACTTTTGATAAAATTCTACAACAAAAAATGTTAGTGAATATATTGTTTATGATTAGAAGACCAAAAAATAAAAATTTCTTACAAAAAACTTTGGTTTCTTCCGAGGAATGTTACTATAGTTTGAAATAGTTTCTAGTAAGTTTCTTTGAGAAGGTTTTAAGTCATGTTCTTTGTCAAGAATAGACTTTATCATGTCAACCCATGATTCCTGCTTTAATTCACCCTTTTTTATAACACCATTTGGCATTGACCCCTTTGCAGCATATCTCTCCTCTTCAGTTACACATTTTGTATGTGTAACATATTCTTCTTCTCTAAAATACATACCATTTTGGTAAAGATTAAAATTGTAGTATAATTCAAAGCTGATTTATATTTGTTAATTGAGAAAAAAAGCACAAGAAACAATTTAAAAACAAGACAATTACAGAAAAATTATTTTACTATGTTTCGAGTTGTAAACATTAAACATAACTTTATTGTCAGTTTTAGGCCAGATTCTATTCTAATGGCTATATAAAATACAGAATGTTAAGAGTTCCAAAGAGTTTAACTTAATTTATATTGAATTGTTAGTGGCAAAATATTTTCACAAGTTTTTAGCAAATAGATTTTTTCGATCTATGATACTTTTAAACTAACAACCGAGCTAACAACTAACCTAAAATCTTTGAAGCAATCTACACAAGTAAGGAATTTAACTCTTCGACAAACAAATGCGTAATGCTTTTCAACTCTTGGTTTCTGTAAACTTTCTCCACAATGATTACAGGTAAATACTACCATATTTTTTAAATTTCTTCACGTGGTTAGAAAAGCCGTAAGTCGGTTCACAATAGTCGGTTCCCGTGTTAATTTTTGGAAACAGTCATAGGTAACAGTCAGTGTTGCCACACCAATTAATTTTTTCGTAATAGGCTTTTGAACCAAAAGGTAATAAAATCGTAATAGATAATATTTTAAAGTAACATAAATGTACCAGAACTATTATTAAATACATTTTTGTACGTTCATGCAAAAACAAAACTTTATTGAACTATATTTAGTGAAAAAACTGGGTATTTATTGCACTAGTGCAATAAAAATTTTATTGTACTCATCTGTCATTTTACTACAGCGTTTTATGATCATGACAAACATAAATATTCAAATCAACGCCAAATATTTAGTCCATTTTCATTTTCTGTGTTACGTTTTAAAAACAATTGCATATTTTATATTATTTTCAATCATTTAATAAATAAATTAATAAAAAAAATGTATTTTATTAAAAATGTCATTATAAATTATGTTAATACAACTGCAGTTCTATAAAACATTTTTTGGTTTTTGCATGAACGTAGTAAAAATATTGTATGCAACTCGTACAAAAAGTGTTTATTGCACTTGACGTGTTGTCCAACTCGGCCTGACGGCTTCGTTGAACAATTTCATGTCGCGTGCAATAAACACTTACTTTTTGCACTTGTTGCATAAATAACTATTAACAATAAAAATTTATTATTTAGTTGAGAGAAAATTGTTTATGCTGCTGCAAACGAATGGGGTAATGAAAATAAACCACAAATTAATTTTTTTTAATTTTAAACATTTGGTTCATGAAGTGTTTTTTTTTATTTAAAAGATGTTAGCCCAAAATTCACCTAAGGGTAAATTTTTGTAATTTAGTATTTCTTCAGTCTTGAAGTGGTCTACGTTATTAAAAACAATATATTAATTATGCTGGAGGCTGGTGGTTATCCCCTACTAAACTAAAAACTGACCAATAACAAAAAAATAATACAATAATAATAAAGTGACGCCTATCTTGGATTTATTGAAACAAGAAAACACAGAAATAACAAATGCATAGATTTCTAATTGTTTTAAGTATGGGCTCTGAAGTTTAAATGGAGCCACTCATAAAATTTTGATATTTTAAAAGGTAATAGATTTTTCCTCTTTTCTTAAAAGTCGTAATAACGTAATGTTGTAACTTTTTAGTAATAGATTTGTTACAATTGTAATAGCAACGACAACACTGGTAACCACAAAGCACATAGAGGTTCCACGTGAATGACCAAGGTCAAAACCGACAACTGACATTTTTTATGCTATTTGCTCCAAACTCTAGATGGGGTTACTGGTGAAATTATGATTTCTTACTCCATTTTTAAGCCTTTTATGGGAGAAAAACTTAACCAAAGACTCCAAAGATGTGACGTGTATTTATTTATGTTCTTGGTTAGTTTCATTTTTCCGTCTGATTTTAGTGATTTTTTGTTGCTTTGGCTTTTGGTTTCTGTTTATAGTTTCGTCTTAGTTATTTGCAAAATTGTGATGTTTTGCTTTTCTATTTGCTACTGTGTTTTGCAATAATTTTGGTGCTACCTGTGGGTGCTACGTTGAAAACTTCGAGAAAAACTTCATTGATTCACCATTCATCTGCATCATAAAAAGACAAACGGGTATAACAACTAATTGATAATCAATTTATCACTGGACTAGATTCCGAAATCATTTTTCACATAAGAGAGTAAGGACCGATTCCACCGTTGTGTTAAACGAAGTTTAAAATGACATTTTTACATTAACAACGTCATTTTAATCTCCGTTTAACACAACGGTGGAATCGGTCCTAATACACAAAGCAGTGGAGTAATACCACCATCTGTATTTGGAAGGAAAATACCTATTTATCATTGAATGAATAGTTAAAAGGATTCACCTTTTAATACAATACCTATATTACATTTGTCCTCGGTTTAAAAGACATTTATAAAATATATTATTTTAGTGTTAATTAAATGTAATATCCTAGTCTCTACTTCACATTTAAATTATCGTTAAATATGTATTATTATTTGTATTTATTTTTATCTAATAATATTTATTTAAGTTATTAACAAACATATTTTAAGAATGTTCTATTTTATTATTTATTGATATATCTTATATTTATTTAATAATAATATGCAGAACCAACTCTCCACATCAGATCCCTGCTTATAACAAATTAATTCCTCAAATTTGGTATAATCGACCTAAATTATTTTGTAAAATAAAAGTTTCGAACTTACTAGTTCCATTCTTTATTTTATAAAATAATTTATGTGGAAATCATTTAAAACTACTACCTACTCCTAAAAATTACAATTTGAATTTACCGCCATCTGTCAATTGTCATTTTAGTTCCAGCTCCAAACACAAGGTGGCGCTAATTTGGTTTAAAAGTTTAACATTGGCGTGGGGTCTCTAGAAGATACGTGCTTTGTGGTATACACGTTCTTTTAGGAATAGAGAAGTTTTATCTCTAAAATTTTATAATTAGTTGTATTTAATAATATTTATTTTTAAGGTAAAATGGGAGAACATAAGAAGAGGAAAAGGTCGTCTTCTATTTCTCGCTCACCCTTGCATAGAAGGCCGCTAACTGCACTGGAAAATATGTTGATTAATAATGATATTGAGGTAATAGGACATAGTGTTGGGGCAAAAGTTCATTAATCACGGCAAAAGAAGTGTTCTGGCTAAAGTCCTTGAACCACAAAGCTGTACATCCCCAGTAAGTTGCTACATACTATATATCCGTCCGCGGCCCAACTAGTGGCCCGGCGTCCTCAAACTCAGTTCATAGTGTTGGGGCAAAAGTTCATTAATCACGGAAAAAGAAGTGTTCTGGCTAAAGTCCTTGAACCACAAAGCCGTACATCCCCAGTAAGTTGCTACATACTATATATCCGTCCGCGGCCCAACTTGTGGCCCGGCGTCCTCAAACTCAGTTCATAGTGTTGGGGCAAAAGTTCATTAATCACGGAAAAAGAAGTGTTCTGGCTAAAGTCCTTGAACCACAAAGCCGTACATCCCCAGTAAGTTGCTACATACTATATATCCGTCCGCTGCCCAACTTGTGGCCCGGCGTCCTCAAACTCAATTCGTAGTGTTGTGGCAAAAGTTCATCAACCACGGAAAAAGAGAGTTCTGGCTAAAGTCCTTGAACTACAAAGCCGCACTTCCTAGAGCTAGACACTGATACTAGCTCGTCTAGGAGACGACCTGGATATTGAAAACAAAAATGGTGTTTAATCCTTACATTGGAAAAAAGTTGTCTTTAATTTTAAAAGATTAGGCAAGGAAAAAATAAATATTTGTCATCTATTAAAATCCCCAGAAATATATCAAAAATATTTAACTGACATATAAAGTCAATAAAATTAAGTCTGGGAGTGTCCAGTATTGGTAAGGTTATAAATATATTCTTGTCATCTAACAATGAGACATAAAAAATAGTCTGGGAAAACCCTTCGCAGATTTTTCTATAAAATATCAAATGATTCTTTGGTAACAGCTCTGCAAATAAAAATGAAATTGATAAATTCCTGTATTTACTTATATATAAACAGAAATTCTCCATTCAGTTAGGTATAATGTTTGATATACAATAATATATTTAATTATTAATCAAAATAATAGTTAAAATACAAATAATGCAATACAATATGGTTGTAACCCTGGAAATTAATATAAAACCCAAAAGGTAATAGACAAATCAGTCGTGATGTATTTTTACAACACTACTTCTAAAAACAGTCCAGAAAAACCCAGCTTTCAATATTTCGGGAAACTGGAGGAGCCTATTTTGCACCAGGGGGAGGGGGAGGCAGAAAAACTGGACAGGGACCCCCTTCTCTGATTCACAGAAAAAGGAACATGAACTATTCTTGTCTGTGCTACCCTCAAAACAAATATTAAAGGTAGGTTTAAAAGCAGGGTAATTAAAATGTTATATCTGAATGGAAAAGCCTTAAACCAAATCCCTTAGATTGCCTGAATTGTTACAAAACTCCACATAAACTCCCCACATAGAAATTTTTCATCAAAGATTGTCATTAAAGACAAACCATTAATTGAAAATTTCTTAAAGGACTTTAAAAGCAAGGGTGCATCAAAAAATTAGTTTATTGCGCCCCTTTTTTTCCTAGTTAAAAAATGGAGTGGTAAAATTGATTGATTCTAACTATATTTTACCTGACCATTTCAAAATGGAAGATTAAAGAATCGTAAAATTATCACAAAATTCATTTATATGTAAGTACAGTCACTCTGTTGGCTATCTCGATGTGTACAGACTTAAAAGATGGCTATTAATTTCCAAATACCAATTCATAAATCTACAAAATGTTTAAGATATCTTTTAATTAGTAAAATTATGAAAACATTTGCCTTTTTAAGAGAAATTGACATTTAGTTGTTCAGTTTACTTAGACGATGGTCTAATAATGGCGAATTCAGAATTATATGCTTTACAAACTAAAATTATAATAGGAAACTTGGAAAATCTTGGATCCACAATGAACTTCAAAAAATAAGTACTTAGTTTAGTTCCTAGCAAACATTATAAATTTTTTAGGGTTAGCCTTCACTGTTGTAAATACTGAAAATCTTATGTCGATTGTACCTACTAGCCGAAGAAAAGAAAATGATTAGTTTCAAAGCAGTCACAAAATTAAATAATGAAAAATAAGGTTTTTTGCTCCTGTTATTGATCTCCTGGTATCTGCTATGCCAGCTGAAAAATATATAGTCGTTTATACATCAAGTCTTTAGAAAAAGAAAAAGTTTTAGCTCTAGGAGAAGAATACGATAACAATTATTAATAATATGAATATCATATTGTAATCATTTATAGTTTGTTGCATTCTATTATGCCCCAAAAATGTCTTGCTCAAAATTGTAATTTTGCAAATATATTCGTGAGGTGTGATAACCACTACCACTTTATATATATATTTTTGTAAGTAAACAAAAAAGGACAGTAGGTATCTATAAATCATAAATATCTGGATGAAGTTATAATAATATTTATTTACCATAAAAAATACATTTTCTATTGACTTAATACAATAAA